ACTGAAAAAAAAAAAAAAAAAAAAAAGAAGGGAGCAAGGGTTGATCCCTTAATTTGTGACCTGTGAGTCTCTTACTAAATGAGTCTTAACATTTCAGGGTACACATATTTACATCAGGACCTAGTGGATAATTAACATGCAGCAATAACCTCGATGTAGTGCATCACTGTTTACAAAGGGCTTTTACATACATTCATGATTTAACCCTCACAGAAACCTTGAGAGATGGGTATTATTTATCCCTAATGTACAAACTGACTCAATGAGGTTGTCTCGCCTGAGGTCATAGCTGATAAGGAGGCAGTACCACCAGGTGTGGTGGCACATGCCTGTCGTCCCAGTACTCAGGAGGCTGATGCAAGAGGATCGCCACAAGTTTGAGGCCAGGCTGGGTTACTTTGTGAGGTCAAGGCAAGAGATTCCGTCTCAAGAAAAACAAAAAGGGGGTGTGAGGGGATCGACTGCTATAACTTGAACTCTGAGTGGTTGTGAGTCCAGTGGTCATTTTGCTCTGCCATAACTGCCTGGTCAGTCTCTTGGTAACTCACTTTGGCTATAGGAATGTGACGCTTCTAATGGTACTGTCCCTTTAAAAGAATAATAGTTAAATTTCAGATTTTAAATGGTCAAGAAGAGATGGAACTGATTCTCCTAATAAGGTTATAGCTTTACTAATAGGTTGATTGTGATAAGGTTGTAAAGTTCACCCTCAGAAACCTTTCAAATTCTTACAGAGTCAGTCTGGATGGCATTCTTTTACCAGGGTTAGGCCTAGAGAGTGAGCTACGTTCTGATGCCCTGGGGTCTGGTATCTCAGAGCCAGTGGGAGCTGGGCTGGTATTCCCCAGCCTCATCCTCCACAGAGGACTGTGGGCTGGAGCCGGAGCCGCAAATGACCAGGAATCCTCCCCATCCCGAGCCAGGTGATAATGTGGTCCTGGACCGGGCCTACCTGTGGCGTGGAGTTCGAGTGGCTGCTGGGGCGCAGATCCATCAGTCTCTGCTCTGTGACCATGCTGAAGTCAAGGAACGAGTCACACTGAAGCCACGCTGTGTCCTCACCTCCCAGGTGAGACCTGCTTCGTACTGTGCACAAGCCCAGAAAAGCTGCCTTGTTCCCTGCAGTCCTCCAACCTGCACTGAGTCCTAATCCAGTGGTCTCGTCACCTCTCCTGTCAGGTTGTACTCTCCTCAGCACCGGGTGGGTCTGTCACACACGCTCCTTTCCTCTCCCCTAGGTGGTAGTGGGCCCAGATATCACGCTGCCCGAGGGCTCGGTGATCTCCTTGCACCCTCCAGACGCGGAGGAAGATGAAGATGACGGCCAGTTCAGTGATGATTCTGGGGCCAACCAAGAAAAGGAGAAAGTGAAGCTGAAAGGTGTGTGGCGCCCAGGTGTGGGGCATCTGCATCTCCCCGCCCTCTAGGAAAGCCGCTGTTTGCTTCCAGAGGATTCCTCTTCTGCTGGCCCCAGTCTAAAGATGGGTGCCTTTCCCAGGTCACAACCCAGCAGAGGTGGGCATTGCGGGCCAGGGCTACCTCTGGAGAGCTGCGGACACGAACATGGAAGACGAGGAGGAACTGCGGCAGAGTCTGTGGGGTAAGCTAACACCGAGGAGTTTGACGGGTAGCGAATGCTTCGGAGTCTCACTTGTCCATCCCTCTCCTCCAGCCCACAGGGCGGATACAGTGCTCTCTGACAAGTACTCTTTTCCTTATTTTTTTTCCTTCCCTTTCTTGGGTTCTCAGGCCTCACGATCAACAGGGAAGAAGAGAGTGAAACTGAAAGTGAGAGAAGCATGGGTTCTGAGGAGCTGGACAGCCGGGAAGGCTCCCCTCAGTTGGATGACATCAAGGGTGAGTAGCTGGGCAGCAGAGGCGGGGCGCAGGGACGACCTCCAGTTTTTCACCCTGTCACCTGGCCAGAGGCTCGCATTCCTCCCCGGAAAGGTTTGACATACAGTCAGGACTGACGTAAGCGATGATGTTGGCCTGTGAGTTCATTCTTTCTCTTTAGTGTTCCAGAATGAGGTCCTGGGAACGCTGCAGCGAGGCAATGAGGAAAACATTTCTTGTGACAATCTCGTCCTGGAGATCAACTCTCTCAAGTAAGAGGATCTCCTTCCTGTTCTCCCCTCTGGGCAATTCTAAGCACTTAGAGATGTCTCCCAAGTGTTTCTTTACACAGATACAAACCTATTCCATCGGTGTCCCAAAGGGAAAGGGCCAGAAGTATTTGGGCAGGGAGAGCATTCGGTTCTGCCTTACCATAGACTCCCCCTCCGTGTGCTGCCCTCTGACCTCTCCACTGCGTGTCGAAGGCCCTGGCATCATGGCAGTCTCCCCACAGGTACGCCTACAACATAAGCCTAAAGGAAGTGATGCAGGTCCTGAGCCACGTGGTCCTGGAGTTCCCCCTGCAGCAGATGGATTCGCCACCCAACCCAACTCGATACTGTGCTCTGCTGCTTCCTGTGAGCAAGGCCTGGGGCTGGGCTCGGGGATCGGGTGGAGGCAGATACACATCCTTGCTGTTCTTGGCTGTAAAAGAAGTCAAAGAATAGATGATCTTGTTGTGGGTTGTTATTTCTGCTTCCTTTCTCCTGCCTCTGGAAGCTGACTGGATTCCAGAGCAGCCCTGGCTGGTCCCCAGGAGTAAGGTTGGGTTCAACACCGAGTGACCTTCAAGACTGGAGGATTCAGACAGCATGAGGGCCCCAAAGGGATACTCAAATAGACCTGGGTGCCAGGCTTGGTGGCTTGCCTGATAGTCCCAGCTCCTTGGAAAGCTGGAATGGGAGGACCACTTGCATTCAGGAGTTCGAGGCCAGCCTGGGCAACAGTAGTGAGACCTCCAACTCAAAACAACAACTAATAGTTCTGGATTTCAGGACTCTGAAAGTGACTTGACCCAGAACAAGGTCAACCTCAAGGCTGGGAATGAGTATTTAGAGGCAGCCTACAGCGTCTCATCCCTTTCACTTTCCCTGGGAAATCTCTTGCCCAGCCATGACTGCCAACAACTCCCTCCTCCCTCTGGAATTCCTCAGGGCCTGGGTTATTTCCCTCTCACCTTCCCAAGGCATGAAAGCCCCATGTTACCAACATCAGTTGTGCTCATGGGTGTAAGTGCCGCTCAGAACATATTGCAGTTCGAGTCTCCTTTCTCCCATAGCTGCTCAAGGGCTGGAGCCCCGTTTTCAGGAACTACATAAAGCGTGCCACTGACCACTTGGAAGCATTGGCAGCCATTGAGGACTTCTTCGTGGGGCACGAAGCTCTTGGAACTTCCATGGCCAAGGTGAATACCACTTGAGACTTTATGTTCGTGCATTTGCTCTCAAACAGGCCCCAGGGACCCCCAGGGAGACCTGAAAGCAAGACCAATGTGAACCCAGCACAGAGTTTGGCTCGCCACACCATCTGCCAAATGTTGTGCTTTTGATTAGAGCCAGGCTGGCACTAGTAGGGCAGCTACATGGGCACTGGCCTGGAGATGTGTGCAGCACTACCCAGCAGTCACCGCAGAAGTTACACCTGACCCAAGAGTCCCTGGAGCCCGAGGCTGCTCCGTGTGTGAAGGACGCTGAGGGCCTGGTAGAGGTGCCAGGGTCCTGCCTCCTCTCCTGTTAGCCACTGTGTCCCGCTGCACCCTGCGAGGTCCCTGAGATCCCTTTGCCGGCCTTCTGCAGGTGCTGATGGCTTTCTACCAGCTGGAGATCCTGGCTGAGGAAACAATCCTGAGCTGGTTCAGTCAAAGGGATGTAACCGACAAGGGCCGGCAGTTGCGTAAGAATCAGCAGGTGAGTTGGGCTGCCCTCTCACGGGGCGCCGTCTGGTTCCCTGGCCCTGGACCCCAGAGCCTGGTGACTGGAGCTGTTTATCCACTTGGGAACTGGTGGAACGTGCCCCGCCCCCAATAGCTCTCCTCTGCTTCCTCCCAGCTGCAGAGGTTCATCCAGTGGCTAAAAGAGGCTGAAGAGGAGTCCTCTGAGGATGACTGAAGTCGCTTCCTGCTCCCGTGTGTGACTGTGGCCCTCCTCGCTCCCAGGACTGAAACCCTGCAGGAGGAGAGTGAGCACCTTGCAGGAGGGGGCTGAAGGAGCACAGGCTGGAACGGCAGTATTCTTTCCACCACCGGCAACAGGCGCCCCTCACCCTGACTGGGGAGTTGGGAGATGTGGGGCCGAAGCCAAGCTCCTGCCTGGGGAGGAGAGAGGCAGGTCCTGCAGCTGGAGGAAGGCCAGAGGCACAGCTCTGTGCCCCGGTTTCCCTCAGGGACAGCAGAGAGCAGCTGGCCCTCTGCTGCTCGCGTTTGTCAATATTAAAAAGAGACAGAGGTATGTTTAGTTTCTCTCCAGCTCTGACTGAGCAGCCACAAAGCGTGTGACAAGTTCTGAACCTCTGACCTGGCAGCTTGGCCGGAACACCTAGGGAGAGGGAGCAGAGCCTGTTGTGGCCGCTAGGTGGTACTGTGGTCCCTCACCGGTGAACCATTCCCCTGGCTCGGCAGCCTCTGCAGACCAGTCCTCCTGGCGTGCTGTGCCTGAGCCTGACCATAGCCAGTCCTGCCAGAGGCTCGTGTCCTGGGGCCCTGCGAGCTCACTGCCACTTATCAGTCCCTCTCCAGTGCCTTTTCCGGGGGACCCGGTACCGGTCCCACCAGGGAAGCGCGGGGGGTGGGGGGCACTCAGTCTTGAAGATAGGGAAATGAGCTCAACGTCTCATGCTTCTTGAAGGGTAAAGCTGAGCACTCAAACCTCAGTCGAGAACTCTGCTGTCACGTCTGCGTCTCAGTGAAGGACGTTGCCCCCGGAAGCAAGTATAGAAGGCAGGGAGGTGCTGCGGAATGTGCTTTCCCTCACCACTGGGAGAACTGAACGTGCAGCAGGCTTTCTCCTAAATGCGATCTGTGTGTTACTTCATTTAACTCTCAAGTTGGCCCTGTGCAGTGGATCTTGTAATTTTCAGATGTGGCACCTGCAGCTCCGAGAGGGTCACTGTGGAGCCAGCATTTGATTCTGAACCTTAGACTGCAGTGTGTCACCTGTCTCCTTTAACCTCAGCCCTGAGACTTGCCCTTCGTCTCCCTTGGGAGCTCTTGGTTCCCTTTATATAAAATGAGTTGGTGCTTTATTTCCTTTGTTGACACAAACGGTAGCAAATATTGTATAACAAGCGCCCCTGACCCCGGACATGACAGATAAAACGGGTGCCTTCATTTCATTGAGTGGGAAAGAATAAGCTGAGGAAGAAGACACCGAGTGCTACTTGGGGGCGTGAAGGCAAAGAAAAAAGAAGAAAAACAGGCTGGCCAGGGAAGCGCTGAATTGTCTTGTTCGGCTTGAGGCTTAGTTTAGGATCTAATATGTGGGGAGCATATGAAGGTGATGACCTGGACCTAATTGGGCAGTTAAAAGTCATTAGAAGGCATCTTTGGTGGCAGAGATCAGAAATGGCCCACAGGACTTTCTAGGAAGGAAAGATTCCTTCTAGGTGGGCTCAGCGAAGGCTTTACCAAATAGCGACACTGAGGTGGCCTGACAAAAAGGGTTAGAGGGCACATTCAGAGCCAAGCTGGGTATGGTGCTGCGTACCTGTAATCTCAGTGCTTGCAAGGCTGAGTTTGGACAGCATGAGTTCAAGGCCAGCCTGGGCAACTTAGACCCTGTCTCCCCCCCAAAAAAAAAAAAAAAGGCTGGGGATATGGCTCAGTGG